ATGTTAAAACAATTTCTTTTTGATTTAAAGAAAAAGAAAGAACTTTTGTGATTGAATGTACTCTTGTATCTGTTTGATGAACACTTGTAGCACTGAACTATTTCCGCCTAATTTTCAGATGGTTAAGACTTTTCTGCTCATATTTCCCAAAATGATAGTCGGGTATTCATACGAATGAATGAATACTGCGTGGGCATTTGTCAGTTTTGAGTAACAGGAGGAGTAAATGTTTTGTATCTTTATGACCTAACTGCATTAATGCAAACAATGCTCTTAGAAAATCTAGCACTTTCCTTTGAGATGACGATATCTCTCGCAAAGTTGAGATCGAGCTTCAGCGCTAACAAGCTCAATGCCAACTATGTAACTTTGTAAGTCCACTATTGACCACTGTTCTACTTTTTACCTTAGCTACCACGTCAAAATTCAAGGTGCAGAACCTTGAAATTTTCATTATTGTAAACATTGATGAATGTTCTATTAGTACCACATGATGTTGAACTAAAACAACCTCAAAAAACTCACAGCTTTTCTTCGTATTCTTGAGGGCGACATTAGCGAAGAAAATGTTGGAATGAGGACTTGTACAATATTACCGTTAATACATACCATTTTATTGACGGGTGCAAGTTTAACAGTGCTGTTTTCTCTGAATGCAACACATCAAGCTTGAATATGAGATTGATGAAAAGTTGAAGTAAACCCGCACAGTTCGATTTGTGTGCACGCGTGACTATCTGCATCTGCAGCTTTGAAAGTAGTAACTTAGCTAACTATGTCATTTCAAGAAAACTTAAGAGAATTTTAAGTGTTTTCTTCAATAGCACAAAGCTATCTTTTCCCTGTGTTCTTGTTGTGAAAATCAATCATTGTTGACCTTTTAATCAAGAAACCCGACTTTCTCAAGGCTTTGACAAATAACCACCACGAAACTCTATGCAATAAATATTTTCATACATGAACAAAGTTCAAAATTATTTCCTTCTACGACTTTGAACTCGCGCTGGCAAAACGTACGGGGAGACACCTATGCTTTCCCCATTGAGCCAGGAGATTTTTGTAAGTTGAGTTATGAAAACGTGCAAGTGATTTGTTCACACCAATTAAATCATTTTTCAAAATTTTCAAAAATTTAATTTGGCTTTGCAAACTGGAACCTTGCAGGGCCGCAAAGATCAAAAGCATCTCAAAAAATATCTCGGAGTGTGACATATTAGGTGGGTCCGGAAGCTCGTGCCATTTCTTAGACTCATGCTCAAACGACTCAGAACAACTATGGACGAAAATGCTCTAAACATCCAATGCAGAAACTCCTCCTCTCTCTAACACTCATGTTTTCGTTTGGATTCCTTCAATGTCCCTCGCACAGTCGTGAGAATATC